TACACCTGGCCTTCCCTGTTTATGAAGGGGAAATGTCTGCTCTTCCAAAGGTCCTGAGTTCAATTCCCAGCAATCACATGGTGGCTCACAACCATCTCTAATGGAGTCTGGTGCCCTCTTCTGGCCTGCAGGCAGACACACAGACAGACTATTGTATACATAATAAATAAATATATTTAAAAAAAAAAGAAAAGTGACTGCTAAACTTTCCAAAAGAAGGGATGGTCTTTCAGGGTTCCTGCTTCATAGAACAAACTGTCAGACATTCTGCAGGATATAGAAGAAAGCAAATGATGAACGTTGCCATTAGAAGGCAGAACAGACCTTAAAATTTCCTGCTTCATTGGAAAAGTCTGCTGGATACTATGGGCTTGTAGGCTAACGATTGATACCCCAATGTTACAGAAGAACTTTTGGTGAAGTCCAGGCAGCAAGATGTCTCTATCAATTCTAGAGTTTTGGAATTTGTTTACAATGCACTTCCTGTTTATTTAGATAAAATTATATCTTCTGGAGTCTTTGAAGAGTTGAAGACAGTTAGTTATAGTTTTCCTTAGTTATGATAAAGTAGATATAAAGCTTTAGACTTACATAGAGTATTCTCAATTTGCCAGATGTAATTGGACTAAATATTGTACCATAATTCTTGCTTGATAACTGTGTTGTAAATGTAATTTTACTATGTTAATGTTAAAACAACCTTCCTTTTATTTAGACAGAAAAGGGAAGATGATGTGGGATGTCCTTCTGTATATGTGTTGCTTTTATTGGTTAATGAATAAAGCTGCTTTGGCCTATGGCAGGGCAGAATATAGCCAGATGGGAAGAGATACAGAGAGAGAGAGAGAGAGAGAGAGAGAGAGAGAGAGAGAGAGAGAGAGTAGGCAGAGTCAAGGAGACAGACGCTGGATCCTTACCAGTAAACCACAGCCTTGTGCCGATACACAGAATAATAGAAATGGATTAATCTAAGCTGTAAGAGTTAGTTAATAAGAAGCTTGAGCTAATAGGTCAAGCAGTATTGTAATTAATTTATTTTCTGTGTGATTATTTGAGTTTGGGCAGCCAAAAATGCACAAGCAGTCTCTGCCTATAAGTAGCCACCATAGGGTGGTTGGGAAGCAAAAGAAAGAGAAAGGAGGGGGCCTGGGATTAGATTTAGGTCACAAGGAAACATGTTTTTGCCACATGTGTGTGACTGAACACCTCACTCATGTGATTCTTCTTAACCCTCAGAGTATAAGTTGCCTAACACTCTGAATAAAGTTGCCTATTACAAGGCTTCCCTCTGCCTTATTTTTTGGCCCCGCCCTCCCAGTTTCACACTGCCAACGAGAGTGGTAAACAGATTAAAATCACTGCGTTTTTCATGTCAACTTTGTTCATCCCTCTCCCCATTCCTGACCCTAAATGATTTACATTTGATCTTCTCCAAAAGGCCAAGAAGCACAATACTTTTCTGTAGTGATATTTTATTTATATTTTAATAAATAACATTGCCTGAAGATTAGAGTACAAAACTAAGCCACTAGAAGCCAGGGAGTAGTGGCACACACCTTTAATCCCAGGACTCAGGAGACAAAGGCAGACGGATCTCTGTGAATATAAGGCTACCCTGGGCTACACAAGACTGATCTAGAAACAGATCCAGGTGGTGGTGGCTCACCCCGTTAATCCCAAAGTTTGGGAGGCACTCACCCTTAATCTCGGCACTAGGACAGTAGAGACAGGAGCAAAATGGCTGTGTGGAGAAAGGAATATAAAGGGGAAAAGACAAGCCTTCACTAGAGTGTGGATTCTGAGGTTTGGTAGAAACAAAGTACAATCTAGGCAGTCTGAGGATCACCCATTTGATCTGAGGTAGGGTAAAAAGTCTCTCTAGGGGCTTACTGTTCTGTTTCTCTGACCTTTAGCTTTAACCCCTATGTCTATCTCTGGGTTTTTATTATTCATGCTACACTTTTCTTCTTTTTTTGAGACAGAGTCTCACTGTAGCTGTGGCTGGCCTGGAATTTACTATGTAGACCAAGCTAGCCTTGAATACCTGCCTCTGCCTCTGCCTCTGCCTCTGCCTCCCAAGTGCTACAGTTAAAGGTGTGCGCCACCTGGTGTCATACTGGTCTTTAATAAAATGATGTTTCTTCTTTGGCTGGGGAGACAACTTAGTGGGTAAAGCGTAAACAGGAAGGCCTAAGGTTGTTTGATCCCCTCCCCAAATCCATATACATCTGCATATGCTCATAATACCAACACTGGGGAAGAGGAGACAGGAGGACTCCTTGAACTGCTGCTCTACCATGCTCTACCAGTTAATCCTAATTGCTGAGCTCCAGGCCAATGAGAGACACTGTCTCAAAGAACAAGGTAAAGAGCCAAGCATGGTAGCACATGCCTTTGATCCCAGCACTAGGTAGACAGTTGGATCTCTGTGAATTCAAGGCCAGCGTGGTCTACAGGATAGGTAGCCCTTGAGAATAAATACCCAAAGCAGATCTCTGGCCTCCACACACATGCATACATCCACACATACACAAGAACACTGGGAGATATGATAAATACTGTTCCTACAAACAGCTGCAATAGGAAACAATCATTTCCCCAGGGTAATGTCACTGTCATGTGAGGGTATTATACACTTCAATTTTGCAGCCAACAGGTGTTCTGTCTTCATACCTTACCTTGGTTCCATTTGGTGTTGAAGGTGAGGGGGATTCTGGGGTGCTTCTGACAGGAGACTTAAGAAGTGAGGGTTGGTCCAGGCCTGAACCAGATCCAGAGGATGGCGAATTATCAGAGGAAGGAGAGTTCTCTTGTGTGTGGGGTGAGGTGTTGGGTAGGACATGATCTACCACCCATCCAGAGTAAGAAGACAGTTTGGGAAGAGATGTGCATTCTTCCAAAGCATCCTAAGGAGAAAACGGTTAAGCTTATTTGTATACCCACTGACAGAAGACATTACATGCCTTGTTCAACAACTGAGGGCCCAAGCAAACAAAAAAGTTAACACTTAAGATAAAGTTACTGCATTAACAATCAGAGATGAAAAGACAGTAGGCTGGCTTTCTTTCTTCATCTTTTTGTTTTTGAGACAGAGTGTCAAATTGAGATGACCTTGAAATGACCCTCCTGTTTCCACTTCTGATGTGTACCCAGCAATAGTGGTTTATTACTGCTGCTGTTATTAATATGTTTTAAAATGTATTAGTACTGTTAGTGTGTATATATAGGCTCAAGTGCCACAGTGCACACGTGGAGGTCAAAGAGTAACTCTGTAGAGTCAATCCTTGTATCCAGTTTCACATAGGTTCTGGGAATTGAACTCAGTCATTAAGCTTATGCAGCAACCAACTATACCCATGGAGCTATCTCATCAGCTTAAGTGGATACTTCATAATGACCCAGACCATATATCTAAAAAAAGTCAGATTAAAGTCAGATGTGTTGGCACATGCCTAGAATGTTAACACAAGGGAAGTGCTGGAAGGAGCGTCAGGAGTTCAAAGCAAGCCTCAGCAGTTCTCAACCCATGGATCACAACCTCTTTGGAGTCACATATCAGATATATTGCATATCAGATATTTACATTACAATTAATAACAGTAGCAAAATTTCTGTTATGAAGGAGCAACAAAATAACTTTATGGTTGGGGGTCACCACAACATGAGGACTGTATTAAAGAGTTGCAGCAGTAGGAAGGTTGAGAACCACAGCCTAAAAGGAACAATGTATAAGCACACATTAGAACAATTTTAAAACTTATGGTTTGTGTGTGCAAGGGATGGTGGAGGGTGGGGTGCCATAGTGTCTGGACGTTAGAGTTTGTAAGGTTAGTTTTCTCGGTCCAACTTGACATGGGTTCTAGGGGTTGAATTCAGGCCTTCCGGCTCCTGTAGCAAGTGCCCTTATCAGTTGAGCCATCTCACTGGCCCTCACTAAGGCAACTAAGAAAGGGATCAAAAACATCAGAGAGAATACAGCCCGTGAGAAATTATCAAGTAAACTAGCATGTGCACCATTAGTTTGGAGTCCAAAGGTATCCTCACACTGGGTACGGCTGTTCAAGCCTGTAAATACAGATAAACTCGGACACCCACAAGGCAGTAGGCGGGCAAATGTGATCACTGATTAGAGAAGCCACCAACAAGCTTTTAGCGACGGGCTTTGCAAATACTAGTTACAGGGATCACGTCCACATCCACAGGTTGGCCAGGAATATAAAACTGGGCTCATTTCACTGGCAGCACTAGAGTTAGGTCAAATCAAACTCTTCGAGAAACCTGGGGCTCCGTGCAGTGATTCTCAACCTCCACAGTACTGCGACCTTTAAATACAGTTTCTCATGTTGCGGTGACCATATACCATAACGTTTATTATCCTCGTTGTTACTTCCTAACTATAATTTGGCTATTATGAATCGTAATGCAAATAGTGTGTTTTCCCGATGGCCTTAGGTGACTCCCCAAAGGAGTCGCGACCCACAGACCGCGAACCGCTGTCCTAGCAAGTTGGTTATAAAGCAAATGAAGAGAATGAGAGGCCAGAGCTGCTGACAAGATGCGGCAGCGGCACTGGGGTTACGGTGACGTCTTCGGGCAGGAGGCTTCCTGTGAAGTGGAGCGACCATAGATCAACTAGAACGGGCGGGATAAAGCTGTGTGCACGGGAGTCCAAAACAGCAACGCGGCCCATCGCCACGCCTCGTCCTCCACGCCCGGCTCGAGGGAGCGTGGTAATCGCGTGACGACGGCCGCCGCTCACCTCGTAGTGCATCAGCCACTCGCGGTGGTAGCGCAGGCGGCCTTTGCTAGAATTCCGCAGCGCCCTTAGAGTTTCCCAGCAGCGACCCTCGGACGGCATGGCGGGCTACCAGCAGCGCCTCAGAAAACTCTACTGACAAAACAAACCCTCGAATCCGCCGCCCAGGAGGAGCTGGCCTCCGCTTCCGGGTTTCCCGCCCCACATCCGGCGCAGTCTGGTCCGTATCGGTCGCAGACACTGCTCGTCAGCGATGCATCGCCCACTCGGCAATGCCTGCGTCTGCGCAGATGGTTGTGCGAGCGAGAAAGCGGAAATGAGGCAGTGCTCCTAGCTGTGTGAGGCCGCTACTGTGAGAGACTGACAGTTCTGGAGAAGCCAAACGGAGGTGTCATTTCTGATAGGGCTACGCTGGAAAAATAAAACGCTTCTGCACTGAAGGTTGGACATGAATATTCATACCGGTATTAATAGTAATGTGATACCCTCTCAATTCATCTGAATTGGTAAAATATTCTGTGAAGCTCAATGGAATTCTTCTCCTGTCCCGGGTAAATATAGTGCGTTCTGTAACATAAACCTTGAAAACATTTTGCTAAGAAAAAGCGACACGTTGCTGGGTGGTGCCTTTAATGCCAGCATCTGAGAGGCGGAGGCCGGTGGATCACTGAAACCCTGTCTCGGGGCGTGGGGGCGGGGGGACGACCCAAAACAAAAAAGCAAGTAAGGCGAGAATACAATATACAATTCCCTTCATGTGAAGTCTCTAGAATGAACAAACCCAGAGCCATTAGAGATTGTCAGAGAAGTGCGACATCGAGTGACTGGAAATGAGGGCGGGTTGTCTTGGGGTTCATGAGACGAACTAAAATTAGATCGTGGTAATAATCACACTCTGGTAAATATACTAAAAAACTGAATTGATGCAGAAGGGTAGTGGCGCACGCATTTAATCCCAGAATTTGGGAGGCAGCGACAGGAGGATCTCTGTGAGTTCCAGGCCAGCCCGGTCTAGAGATCTAGTTCCAGAATAGGCCCCAAAGCTACAAAGAAACTGTCTCGAAAAAAACAAAAAAACTGAATTGATAATTTTGAGTTTTAATAGGTCTCACTTAGCCCTCCCTGAATCAATCACACATGGTTAAACCTTAATGCAATTTCATTCACAAATGCCCAGAGCTGGCTTTGATGGATGCTCTACACTTTTTGACCTTCTACTATCCATGACTCTGACATCTTTTGAGATGGGAAAGAGGATAAACAGTATTTTTTTTCTGGAGAGATGGCCCAGGTGTTAAGACTGCTTACTAATCTTGCAGAGGACCTGAGTTCAATGTCCAGCTCCCACATGGCAGCTCACAATGGATACTTCAGCTGCAGCAGATCCATTGCTCTCTTTCTGGTCTCTTTGGAAATGAGGCATGCACACATGCATACATAATTTTTTCTTATTGTTTTTAAAATTACTTTACGTCGGGCGGTGGTGGCGCACACCTTTAATCCCAGCGCTTGAGATTCTCTCTTCTATTTCATGTATTCTGTTGTTCATACTTGCATTTGTGGTTCCTGCTCTTTTTCTTATGATTTCTGTTTGTAAATTCCTTCGGCTTGTGTTTCTTTATTTTTTCTATCTCAGTTTTCAAGTCCTGAATAGTTTCTTTTATATATTTGAGGGGTTTTTTTTGTTTGTTTGTTTTAAAAGATTTATTTATTTATTGTGTATACAGCATTCTGTCTGTATGCTTGCCAGAAGAGGGCACCAAATCTCATTAGAGATGGCTCTGAGCCACCATGTGGTTGCTGGGAATTGAACTCAGGACCTCTGGAAGAGCAGTCAGTGCTCTTAACCTCTGAGCCATCTCTCCAGCCCCTGTTTGTTTGTTTTTTAAGCGATTTGCTGATATCTTCCAATTTTTTTGTTTGTTTTTTTCCTCCATTTCTCTAAGGTAATTTCTCATTTCATCTTTAAGGATTTCAAATATTCTCTTGAGGTTATATTTTAGATCATTCTCTTCTGGTTCATCCATATTTGGTTGTTCAGGTCTTACTTTTGTAGGGTCTTTAGGTTTTACTGATATTGTGTTCCTCTTTGTGGTGTAGCATGTGATCTTACTTCTCTTTTCCTCTAATAGGTGTAGTTGTGGCTGTCTGAGATTCTGTTGAATAATCTTCTAGGTGCCAGTGAATTCAAAGCTCAGATGGTTGTTCCTTGTGGTACAGTCAGTATCACAGTTCTAGTTACCCCGTTGGTTATTCCTGTTCCTGAAGGTAGCTCAGTGCTCCTGTGCTTTGCTCTGCTCCCTTGGAGTTTGTTGTCTCAGGCCTACTTTGGCCTAGGCTGCTGGCTTTGATATGTTTCTGTGAATCTTGGTCTGGATCTCCTCTTGCAGAAGTCTTTGGCTTGGAGTTGGACCTGTTCTGGTGGTGATCACTGGCTCTGAAGCTGGTCGCTGGGTCAATCTTGATCCGCCCATGTCCCTGGACTGTGTTTGCTCCTGGCTTCTGCTCCTGGTGGAGTTTGTTCTGTGTCTTAGGGAACTGAGTCATTCCCACTCCAGTTCCAGTGGAGGTCGCAGATTCTGAGTCAGGTCCTTGGCTCAATCCTGGTCTGCCAGTGTCCCAGGACTGGGTTGGCTCCCAGGGCTGGATTTGCTCCTGGCTTCGGCTCCCAGTGGAGCTTGTTTCCTCCTGCCCTCTCTGTCCTCCCAGAACAAAGGTTCTTAAGGGTTCTCTCCAGCCCCAATCTTGGGTTAGAATGGTTGAGATGCTGTAGTAATTTGAATAAAAATGACTTGTAGTAGAATTAACTTGGTCCCCAGCTAGTGGAGCTGTTTGGGAAGAATCAGGTGTGGCTTTATTAGTGGAAGTGTGCCTGCCACTGGGGCAGATTTGGAGGTTTCAAAAGACTCTCCTGGTGTTCCCTATCTGCCTCCCTTGTGGTGTGGATCTACATGTAAGCTCTCTGCTATTTGGTCCATATTTCTGAACTCTAACCCTTTGAATCAATAAGTCAAATTAAACACTGTCTTTTAGAAGCTGCTTTGGTCATGGTGTTTTATTCTAGCAATAGAAAAACCAAAGAGAAAAAAAAATATGAAAAAGGCCGGGCGGTGGTGGTACACACCTTTAATCCCAGCACTTGGGAGACAGAGGCAGGCAGATCTTTGTGAGTTCAAGGCCAGCCTGGTCTACAAGAGCTAGTTCCAGGACAGGCTCCAAAGTTACAGAGAAACCTGTCTTGAAAATTTAAAAAAAAAAAAAGTGATCTCGCTGAAGAACATGCTTTGTTTTATAGCATTTGTGGTTTCCAATTGGTGATAGTGGTGATGGGGGAAGGGCCCTGAAGATTAGACCTAGGCCCTTGGGGCTAGAAAGATAGCTCAGCAGTTTAGAGCACTGGCTGCTCTTACAGGACCTGGGTTCAATTCCCACACTCATGGTGGTTCTCAACCATCCCTAACTCCAGTATTAGGGACTCTGATGCTCTCTTCTGACTTTAGAGAGTTCCAAGAACATAGATGTTACACAGCACAAATATACATGCAGGCTATTCACCCATAAATACATAAATCCAATTTAAAAATTAATCAAAACAAAGCAACACCCTAGGCTCTTGCACATGTGCATATAAGTACTCCACACCACCCATTTTTTTTCAAAAACAGGAAAATACCCAATTGCCCAGAATCTTCTCATGTGGAAAGCAGGTGGTATTTCTGACACAAATACAGGCACATCCCACACCTATCTACCCTCTTAAAGCGGTCACCCCCAAACCCTGAATAGTAGGGCCTGCAGCTCAAAGTCTCTTGCCGTTAGCCATCACGTGCCTTATCTTACAAGAGCACCTATCTCTTCCATCATGAAATGAAAAGTTGGTAATTCAGGCATCAACTACTCTGCAAACTCATGTTTTCTCACATGAATTTTTTGTTGTTTTATTTGGTTTTTGGTTTTTTTAGTCAGGGTTTCTCTATAGACTTGTCCTGGAATTCACTCTGTAGACCAGGTTGTCCTCAAACTCATAAAGATCCTCCTGCCTCTGCCTCCAGAGTGCTGGGATTAAAAGCAAGCGCCACCACCACCCAGCTCTCACATGCATTTTATGAAATCATTTAAAAATACTTTTGTTTTTGTTCAGTTTCATGTACCCCAGCCTGACTTCACTCACTGTGTAGCTGTGGATAACAGTGAACTCCTGCTGCCAACTCCCAAGTCACTGGGCGACAAGTGTGCGCCACCACACTCAGCTTCATCTTTTTTAAAGTCAGGAGAGAAGGTTAAAGGAAATCAGAGAAGTCTCAAAGAACTGATTATAAAAACTTTATTTCTTGTAAAATCACACAAAAATTTCAGAAGTAGACAAATTCCAGAGCTATAAAGAGAAGTGAAAAGCAGTGAGACAGGAAGCATACTTGTTCCCTGGGTGGACATTAGCTTCTGTGAAGTGCTGGGGACGAGTGGCCCTTGACAACGCGGACATGGGAGGTGTCCATTGGCACTACAGAAACACCGATGCCTGCCCTATCCATCAAGAAGAAATAAGCAGTGCTCGCTTCAGCAGCACATATACTAAAACTGGAAGAATACAGACAAGATTAGCATGGCCCCTGCTATTCCATACTTTTCCTGTCATCAGGAGGTGGATAAAGTGTCAACAGCAAGAATCCACTGTCTTGACCAACTTGCCACTGTGGTAACAGTGACTGCTCCACTTCAGGACATTTGTAGCTAAAGATTCCAAAGCAGCAAAGGGAGCTGTGACCTTCTTTCCTCCATGAGTCAGGAATGAGTGTTACATCTTCCTGCCTCCATTTGATTTTTACGCTATAAAAGCGCAGACTTACTCAGTTACTAAGTTATCTCATTCTTGAAACAAAGTTTTATTTTAGTAAAAATAAAATAAAAATAAATTAAAAAAAAGGAAAAAGGCGATGTAGGTGGTTCACAGTCCAAGGAGGACTCCTGCTGCTTCACCTCAGAGAAACACAAGACATGGATACATTAAAAGATGAGGGCTACAAGAAGACAGCAGGGGAAAGTCCATCCAAACACTCCCTGAGGAAAGGAAGCAGACTCTGCCAAGACACAGCGCTTTAAAAATCTGGTACCTAATGTAGCAAATCTAAGGCCTGTGAAGATCACTTAAAATTCCAGGCTCACAGGTCAGGAAAGGGAACCATGTTCGTCCTGACTCATCCCCAGCTGCTTTAGGGACTTTCCTGGTATCAGGAGTTGAGGAACAGACCCTGAGCACATTCGATCACTTGAAGAGAAAGCCAGTGGGCTTGCCAGCTACAGGATGGCAACTCCTAAGTTCTCTGGCATCAGGCAAGGGCTTTAGATCCTGGGCAGGTGGCCTCAGGCAGGGGGAGACCGGGAGCGGATGGGTGAGCTTGTCAGGTAAGAGGATGTATAGGGGCCATCCCCAAATACATTGGCATAGGAGGACTTGAGGAACTGGACATAATTCTGCATGCTGCGGTTGGTGCTCTCAGACTGCTCCAGGCGGTCTTTCAGATCCTGCAGCCGGCTCTGGTATCGACGATCCGCCTGACAGAAGAAAGAGCAGGGACCAAGATTAAGAAGGTAACAACGGGCAATAAGAGACAAAGGCATTAACTTAGAGGGTGCCAACACTGGGAGAGGCACACAGGGCCTGCAATGAAAATGGGTATTTTCCCCTTGGGTGAGGGGAATTATAGTTGCTTGGTTTTTGGTTTAACTGTTTTGAGCCAAAGCTTCACCAAGCTGCCCAGATAACTCAGTACATGGCCTTGAATTTCCTGCCTTAACCTGAGTACTGGGATTAGGGCAACATACACTGAGCCAACATACCTCGCTGAGTTTCTTTTATTTTATTATTTGACAAAGGATCTCACTATTGAGGCGGTTCTAAGGAACCTAATACCTTCTTCTGGCCTCCACAGAGGACTTACACTCACACACACCTTTGAAAGTGAGTTTTAAAGAGTCTGGGAATAAAGCTAAGAGTATTGCTGGGTTACACTCTTCTCCCAAAGCTCCATCCTAATCTCCACGGTGTCGTACAGGTTCCCATTCCTATCAGTCATGGATGAGGACTAAAGGCTGCTGCCTGCCCCGCATCCTCTGCAACACATGCTGCTGCCATTTGTGTTCTTTTCTATTTTTAAGCAAGGGCTCATGTTGCCCAAGCTGGCCTCAGATCTGCTCAACAGCTAAGGCTGATGTTGAATTTCTGACCCCTCTGCCTCCCACAAGCTGAGGTTACAAGAATTACCACTCTGCCTGATTTGATTTCTGTTTGCTTTGTTTTTAAAAAAGCAAAAGAGCTGGTAGGGACTGAACCCAGGGCTTCAAACATGCAAGCACTCTAGTCAACTGAGATTTATCCCTAACTACTTCCCTTAAAAACATTTTTTTACACTTTTTTGTGTATGTTTAAATGGTTTTCTCAAACTTTCACCATGTGGGTTCTGAAAACCCACTGAACCATTTCTCCAGTTCTTCAGCATAAAAACTATATTGAGGGGCTGGAGAGATGGCTCAGAAGTTAAGAGCACTGACTGCTTTTCCAGAGGTCCTGAGTTCAATTCCCAGCAACCACATGGTGGCTCACAGCCATATGTAGTGAGATCTGGTGCCCTCTTCTGGCCAGCAAACATACAGACAGACAGAATACTGTATACATAATAAATAAATAAATCTTAAAAAAACAAAAAAACTATATTGAGCTGGGGGGGCATCAAGGAGGGCAGGTTGTTACACACACCAGTTCTGGCATTTAGGAGGCAAACCAATGCAGATATCTATGAGTTTGAGACCATTCCAGGCCAGCGAAGGCTACATAGTCAAACATTGTTTGAAAAACAAATTAAACTAGTAGTAGTGATGGCATGCCTTTAATCCCAGCACTCAGGAGGCAGAGGCAGGTGGATCTCTGTGAGTTCGAGGCCAGCCTGGTCTACAAAGCTAGTTCCAGGATAGGCTCTAAAGCTACACAGAGAAACCCTGTATCAAAAAACAACACACACACACACACCCAAGCAACCAAATAAAAATCTAAATTGAGGAAATAACTGGATTTCTTCCCATTTGGGACACTGCCAGCTACAGGTTTGTGAAAAACCACCTTTATCAATGTTGAGGTATGTTCCTTCTACTACAGGTTTCCACAGGGCTTTTATCGGAAGGGATGCTAAAGGTCTTTTCTGAATTGACATGATCATGTGACTTGTCCTTGTGTGTATATGTCTATGTATGTGTTCTGTTACTGTTGCTGAACTAACCTTATATCCCTGCAATGAAACCAATTTGGCCGTAGTTTGTGATCTGTGTCTTTTTAACCTCTGCTTCTAAGTATCTGGAGGCCCTCTGTGTCTGTGGTCATCAGAGACTGCTTTCTAGTTGTCTTTTTTAATTGTATCTTTATGTGGTTTTGGCATCAAGATAATGCTGGCTTTGTAGAACCAGCTTGGTAGTGTATATATCCTTACTTTGTTACTGGAAAGATGGCTTACTGGTTATGAACACTGGCTGCTCTTACAGACGACCCAAGTTCAATTCCTAGCGCCCACATGACATCTTACAACTATCTGTAACTCCAGTTCCAGGGGACCCGACACCCTCACACAGACATACCCCAGTGCACATAAAATAAAAAAATCTTTTTTCTTTCAAGACAGGGTTTCTCTGTTTAACAGAGTCCTGGCTGTCCTGAACTTGCTTTGTAGAACAGGGTGGCCTCAAACTCGTAATCTGCCTGTCTCTGTCTCCCAAGTGTTTGGATTAAAGGTGTGTGCCACTGCGACCAGCTCCAAAAAAATAACATCTTTAAAAAAGGCTGGAGAGATGGCTCAGCAGTTAAGAGTACTGGCTGCTCTTCCAGAGGTCCTGAGTTCAATTCCCAGCAACAACGTGGTGAATCACAACCATGTATAATGAGATCTGATGCCCTCTTCTAGCATAACGCTGTACATTCAGATAGAACGTTCGTATATTAAAAAAAAAATCAGGGGGCTGGAGAGATGGCTCAGAGGTTAAGAGCATTGCCTGCTCTTCCAAAGGTCCCGAGTTCAATTCCCAGCAACCACATGGTGGCTCACAACCATCTGTAATGAGATCTGGTGCCCTCTTCTGGCCTGCAGGCATACATGCAGACAGAATACTGAGAATACTGTACACATAATAAATTAAAAAAAAAATCAGAAAGAAAGCAAGCCAGGTATAGTGGCACATATTTTGATCCTAGCTGGCGACAGAGCCAAGACAGATCTGTTAGTTCAAGGTCAGCCTGACTTACATAGAGTCTAGGACTCCTAGGGCTATATGGAGGGGCCCTGTTCCATCCATCTGTTCCTAGGCCTTTCTTTGTTGGGAGACTTTTTTTTTTTTTTTTTTGAGACAGGTTCTCACTGTGTAGCCCTGGCTGCCCTCAAACTCGCCATATAGACCAAGCTGGCCTTGAGTTAAAAGATTAACCTGCCTTTGCCTCCCACATGCTGGGATTGAAGGCCTGTGCCATCATGTCCCACTTCTTAGGAGAAATTTTCAAAGATGAACTTACATACTATAGGCTAGCCCAGAATGAAGTTGAACTTCTGGTTCTCCAGTTTTTTTTTTCTTTATTTATGTATTTTCATTTTATGTGTGTATTTTGTCTGCATGTATGTCTGAGGTGGGATTCCTCTCTGTATGCTGTGAATATCATTGGCTAATAAAGGAACTGCTTTGGGCCTATAGCAGAGCTGGGGTGGGGGGGGCACGACTAAATGGAATGCTAGGAGAAAGGACGCAGAGTCAGGGAGAAGCCATGTAACCCTGCCAGAGCCAGATGTAACTTTCCCAGTAAGCCACAGCCAGGTGGCAATACACAGATTAATGGAGATGGGTTAAATTAAGATGTAAGAGTTAGCCAATAAGAAGCTAGAGCTAATGGGTCAAGCAGTGTTTTAAATAATACAGTTTCTGTGTGATTATTTCAGGGCTGAGCAGCCGGGAACCAATTAGCAGCCTCTCCCCAACATATATCAGTGTACCACGTGCATGCCTGCTGCCCTCAGCCCTCTAAGAGGGCACTGAATCCCCTGGAACTGGAGGACACTTGTGAGCTGCCATATGGATGCTTGAAATGGAACTGTAAGAGCAGCCAGTGCTCTTACACAGCGAAGCCATCTTCTCTGGCTCCTTATCCTGTTTCCACTTCTCAAACGCTAGAATTTCAAGTGTGTGCCACCATGCCCAGTATATGCAGTGCTTGAGACTTGTCATTGTAGGAAAACACAATAACAACTGAGCTACAATATCCAGACTAGTGGGATGTTAAAAGCACCCATTGTTGTTCTATCAGAACCCACCTGACTTGTGCTAGCTAGATGATGTCCTTATGAAATCAGGAGCCCCAACATTTGGTATATATATAACTGGTACATCTTGTTTTTTTGAAGCAGTGTTTTTCTGTGTAGCCTTTGCTATTCTGAAAATTACTGACCTCAAACTCACAGATCTGTCTGCCTCTGCCTATCAAGTACTGAGATTAAAGATATGGTCCATCACGCCTGACTTGTTACATCTTGCTTAATTATTTCCTTTATTAATTTGGAATAACCTCTACAGTCTTCTCATTAGCTTAGCAGACTGGTTCCCATCCTTTGCATCTGTCTGTGTCTAACAGTGAGGTAGATACATACTGATTTCTTGGACACACATTGTTGTTAGTTTTTAAGCCCCATCTGTCTGTCTCATGGGTAAGCTGAAACCATCTATATTTAGAGCTATTGTTTTACCAAGTCTTGTAATTTTGTTGGTTGTTTTTTTGGTTGGTTGGATTATGTTTTGGGTTCTACATTCTCCTCTATTAGTATTAGTGGTCTGCTTATTTACTGTGTGGGACATGCCAAACTCCTTCCTAGTCCTCTTGTGAAATTTATCCTGGCCCTATACTTTCCTGGTTGATGCAGTCTTCCCTCTGTATAGTCTTCATTCATCTATCTTCTTCAGTACATGGAAATCATGAACTTAAAGCAGTTTAAATGTATTTCAGTCCATTTTAAAAGATAGCTTTGATAAACATTGCAATCTTTTTTATATAAATTTTTATTTACTTATTTATTATGTACAGTGTTCTGTAATATGTGTCTGCAGGCCAGAAGAAGGCACCAGATCTCATTACAGATGGTTGTGAGCCATCATGCTAGGATTAAAGGCATGCACCACCACCGCCCGGCTCTGTTTGTTGTTTTTTTTTAAGACAGGGTTTCTCTGTATAGCTTTGTAGCCTATCCTGGCACTGGCTCTGTAGACCAGGCTGGTCTCGAACTCAGAGATTCTCCTGCCTCTGCCTCCCAAGTGCTGGGATAAAAGGCATGAGCCACCATTGCCCGGCTATTTATTTGGTTTTTCAAGACAGGGTTTCTCTGTGTAACAGCCCTGGTTGTTCTGGAACTTCCTCTGTAGACCTGTTTCGTCTCAAACTCAGAGATCCACCTGCCTCTGGCTCCCAAATGAGGGATTAAAAGTGTGCACCACTGCTATCCCGTCCAGAATATCCTTATAGGGTGGCAAGCTGGCAGAGATAATAACCTACATTGAGTCTCACAAAAATGCCAGTAGACAGTTTTACCTGCAGCCCAAAGAAGCCCTGCCCACTAGTGCAACTCACATCATCACGAGTTCGCCGCAGCTGGCCAAGTTCTGTCTTGGTCCTGCTTAGCTGGGTCTCAAGGTCCAGGATTTTGCTCTGGGCTGCACGTTCCTTGGAGAGTGCCTGCTCCTTGGTTTGTTCCACCTGCACACAAGGTAGAGGTAGGGCTGCCTGACCCTACAGAGAAGGCTAGCCACTCCCACTAGCCAGTCACAGCCCACTGGCACATGAGTAGGCAACATCTTCCCTGAGGCCTTGAAGCAGAAGCTATCTAGTTGGAAGCTCTTACTACCCACCTTTGCCTGCCCTTTTCTAGCATCCCGAAAATAGTGCCTTCCTGAGTCTCAAGAGGGCAGAGAGTGAATGACCAATTATAGAAAGGGCTGGTCCTCTACAACAGATACCCATTTCATCCTCACAACACACTCAGGGGGAAGATACTACTATGCCATTCTTCAGATGGGAAAGTAGGCTGAGGAAGTTTAGGACACAGACCTATCTAGGAGTATAATCACTGACCTGCCGTCTGGCATCTTCAATGGCATTCTCCAGCTGCCTAGCCAAGGACCCACACTCCCTTGTTTTCTCCTCCAGCCGCAGCTGAGCCTGGTGGATTGCCTCCTCCCTCTTGGCAATCACCTGTAGGAACTCGACATTCTGGGCGCTGGTGGCCTCCAACTTCCTAGGTGAGAGCATTCCATTAGACGATGCAAAGACCTGTCTGTCTTAATCCACTGCCAGGGGGCTGCTGCCTCCCATGAGCTGGGGATCTCTTCACTTGAAGAATCTCCGTGAATCTCCAAGGAGCCACAAGAAGAAACAAAGTATTTTCAGATCAGCAAGGTGGCTGCTGGGCTGTGCAACTGCCAAAAGGTGGTCCCAGAACAGCACAGAGAGGGAAGACGACGCCTCGTGCATGCTGTCACACAGAGAATAGCAACCTGCAGCTCACAGAAGGCCTACCATTGTCCGTCCATTCTAGGAAGAAGGGAGCAGAGCCCGAGGGAAGCACGGCCTGCAGGTCTGTTACCAAAACTCAGACCAGTAACAAGGCTGCAGCGGAGCCACACAGCACTTGATGTGACAGGCATAGGATAGCTGGAGCTTCTGCACTTTACACAGGGTCTTCCCTGCTCTTCCAGAACACCTTCCCCTTCAATGAACACTGCAAGTCCTGTTGAACCTAGCTACATTTTGTTGGCCAGCTTGGCAGAGCAGAGGTGGAACACAGGAGGCCACCTGTTCCAACCCCACTGCAGGCTGAACTGGCAATCAAGACCCTAAAACCTTAGTTCTTATTATATAACCCGGTATACCCTCTAGGTGGCAGCAATCTTCCTGCCTCAGCCTCCCAAGTACTGGGATTAGTGGTGTGCCACCATACCAGGCTCCCAGTCTTCTGTTTACAGGTACTAACTTTCAGGTAGTTCTGGAGGAAACTTCCCAGCATAAAGAGCAGCTTTCGTAGGCACCAGCTATGTGCATCTGGGCAAGTTACCACCTCTCCCTGAGCTTGGCTTCCTCACAGTTAATATTTGGGTAGTTCACACCAATGATCCCAGTACACAGTACAAGAGGAATGAGTTGCAAGGCACAGATTGAGACTCTGTCTCAAAGAGTCAAAATACAGGGATGGCAAAATACAATTCAGTGGGTAAAGGTGCTTATTGCCAAGCCCCATGACCTGAATTCAATCCCCAGGACCAACAACATGGTGGAAGAAAGAGAACCGGTGCCCACAAGTTGTCCTCTGACAGTCACACCCATGCAGTTGCCTATGCTGGGCACAAATAAATATTAATAAATAAAAGTAGGTTTTAAAAAGATAGGGGCTAGAGAGATGGCTCGGTGGTTAAGAGCATACACTGCACTTGCAGAACCAGATTCAGTCCCCTGCAGCCACACCAGGTAGCACACAGCTACCTATGACTCCAGCTGTGGGGGTCCTCATCCTCTGGCCTCCGTGGGCACCTACACTCACATAAACATACTCCCAGATAGCCACAAATACACAGAATTAAAAATTAAAATAGGAGTAGTACCACCTGACAAAAATCTACAACTAGCTTATCGTGAACATTTCTAAGCAAGTGACATGCTAGACCCCTTTATGAGGACCCTCTCACTGATAACTGGCGGGACCCTATCAGCTGGTAGATTACACCTACACTGATCCTTCCTCAGATAAGTAAAACAGGTTCAGAAGAATTAAATGATCCAACTGAGTTCACAAGGAAGGTAAGTGTCTGAGCTGGACCTAAGGATAGGGCTTCTGATGCCAAATGGTGTGAACCTCCCCATAACTTCAGAACAGAAGGGGGCACCAGTTCTTATTACCAATGGTTGTGAGCCACCATGTAGTTGCCCACAGGAACTCAGGACCTCTGGAAGAGCAGTCAGTGCTCCTAACCTCTGAGCCATCTCTCCAGCCCCTGAAAACTTCTTATAACAGTCTGTAAGAAGAGTCAGATCAGGGAGGTTGTAGGAATGCTCCTTAGCAGCACACTGGTGTTCTGGCTGCTCCATTCAAGGCAGGCCCTGCTGGTCTGTTTCGCCTAAGTGTGCCTTTGAGACAATGGTGCCTACCAGTAGACTGGCCTCCATCATACAGCCACACAGCACCCCTCCAGGCTGACACCCCTTCCTCACACCCACAAGGCTTACCACTGAAATGGAAGCAGCTCTTCCTTTGAGTTCTGCCTAGCACCTTCCAGGGCCTTGAGTCCCTCCAATACTTTGGCACACTAAGCACAAAGCAGCTAAGCGGCAGAAAGTCTCAAGTCCTAGGAAGAGGACAGACATGGGACCAAGTGCCTCTAACCTCTCCAGTTCATCCACCTTCAGACTCAGTTGTTTATTTTCCTTCTGGGAAGCCTGATGTTTCTCTCTTGCCATCTCCAGCTTGTCCCCCTGGTGTTCGATCTAAAATGACAGGAACGTAGACTGGTTTACGAGGGAATTTCCTATAAGAGCAAATAATGAAGGAATGCTCCCTTCTCCCTGTGATGTCATCCACACACAGGAAAGAGGAATGTTGCCCTCAGCAGGTGTCCCATATTCAACAACCGACCTGAAAGAAAAAAGAGCGGGGACAGGGCAGATCCACCCTACCTCCCACACCAGAACACGGGTTAGATGCTGAAGAGCCACAGCTGAACTGGCCCCAAGGCCAGGGTCCTGATGAGGAGCCAGGTAGAACTGTAGGACACATGTGGCTCTCACTGGACAGTCAACCACCGAGCCTTCCCAATTATGTTGTTGGCACCACTGACTTTATCTCCCTCAATGGGACAATGCAGCCAAGCAATAGGGCAGCTTAGATTCATTCAGGCCAGCAAGGTGAGAAGTTACCCCGAGTGCTGTTTAGTGCTCCTCAGGTACAGGAGCTCAAGGACATTCGGCAGTCTTGAGGCAATGGGTTCAATTTGTGGATGCTAAGTATCCCTGTGACACAGGGGACTCACTTGTCCCCTCTAGGTATCAGGGTGTCACTAGAGAAGTAACCAGTACACAGCATCAGGTTTCTGGATAAAATGACAGCCTGCTGGAGCGGGGCAAGTGCTTAGAATAACAGCAGCTTCCCTTTATGGCTGCCCAAGGAAACACGTCAGGGGGAAAGGGTACAGAAGTACGTGACTACAGTCCCAGTATTATCAGACATAGGGGCGAGACTAGGAGTTTAAGGTCACCCTTGCTACACAGTAAGTTCAGTCTGAGCAATGAGACCCTATCTCAAAAAACAAAACAAAACAAAACAAAACAAGGCTTTAAAAGGAGAGAGTAGAGACCCGCCCAAGTCAGACAAAAAACTGAGAGGTATACGATGTCTTGGACAAACGCAGTCGGGAGACATGGTTCCAGTAACTGAGAGACAGATTGCTTCTAAACAAAGGGGCTGCTTGCTTCTGTCTCTCAGAACAGAATCCCAGGTAGTACATCTGTGGAAAACAAGGAAAGGCAGTTAAAGCTTGAGAAAGATGGAAAAACGGACAAGCAATGGCCAGGTATCTGCTAGGTCTCCTTTCTGTGGCTGTGGGTTGGAGGACAGCGGCAGGATATGCAGGGCAGAGGTAGGTAGAGACGGAGCCCTTGGGTGGCCACAGCAAGAGGGCCCAAAGGCGAGTCCTATAGCTACAATCATTCTGTGCAACACGAAGCATTTGGCACACCAGACTTTTATTTCACAGCACTGATGATAGTTCACTACTTTCAGCCAAGAAAAAGGAAGTGGTCCTCCCTTGGGGGGCGTGCAGCTCATCTCGGTAAGCGGGACCCTGCTCGGGCCAGGTCGTGGGATCCCTTCTGCCAGTCCCTTACCCGGCTGCGCAGGTCTGAAATGATGGCTGTGAGGTCGATATTCTTCCTCTCGTAGCCTTGGAGTTGGTCTTGGCATTCAGCCAATTTGGCCTCTGTGATCTTGAGAATGTCAGGCAGCTGTTGCAAGTCAGCCAGCTGCGACTGGAACTGCCGGCGGGCCTAAAGCAGGAAAAGCAGCCCACAGTTGGCATGATCCTAACTGAGAATAGGATGGCCTTCCTCTAGAATGCAGCAGGGCTGCCCCAGTCCCCAAAGGTCTCGCAAAACCCACAGGTAGCAGCTGGCCTCCTCTCCCACAGGCCAAGCTGGTTGATCTTTGCAGGCCACACTTGGGCCTGCCTTGCCACTTGAGGTGGCCATTCATTTAGTCAGCAAGTGTCAGTGGCAACACCAGGGTTCATCACCATCCTGAGGGCTCTGCAGTCACTTTCTTTGAATAATAAAGAAGGCACAGCTGGAACCACAGAAGGACACTAAGGATAGTTCAAACTTAGCTAAAACCTGGAAAAGCAGGCTGGACTAATTCCAAATCCCCTAGGAAGGCAGCTGTGACGATACAAAGACCAGGGGGAACAGGACATATCTGGTCCTGCTCCGTCCTTGAGCTTTAACAAGGCTGAGGACCAGAGACAGGCAGAGAGCTGCTCAGGAAACTAGTGGCTGAGTCTGACTCAGACTGTCTCCAAGGTTATCTTTAAGGCAGTCACTGTGCACCAGTCAGCCAACAGCTCCAGAAGAAAGAGATCCTTCCAGAGGTGAGAGGCGCATTTACAGATCCTACAAAAACAAAGGTTCCAAACAGAAGAAAACAGGTATCTCAATACCTGGCCACTGAGTGAATTTGAGTCCACCTAGATGCCCCAAGCAGGATGGGCTTTGTTTCCTTGAGAAAACAAAACAAAACAAAAAAACAAAACAACAACAACAACAAAAAAAAAAACCACAAGGATAAAAAAGGAAACAGAAAGCATAGTATAGAAAAAGGCCAGAGGGGAAAATATATAGAGAAAGAGAGAATGCATACATAGTGTGGGTGGAAAAAAGCTAGGAAATCAGTTACTCTGTGACCGAGCTCAGGCAGGATCAAGGGCACAGAGGGTGCCACTGGATCAGACACTTGGACAGCAGTGAAGAGAGCAAGGAAGAGGGACAGTACCGCCTCAATTTCTTTGTTCATCTCATCTTTAAGGATCTTGTTCTCTTTGTCGCAGCGCTCTAGCTGGGCAGCCACTTCATCAGCCTCCAATCTTGTCTTCATCACCTAGGGAACAAAACCACAATTGGTGCTCTTGGGCAGAACCCTCCCCTCCCACCTTGCCCCTCAGAGGCCTAGCGGTGAGCTGTCAAGCAGGGAGACCAGGCTACCCAAGGGGTCTACCTGGCTCTTATAGTTGTCGATCATCCCCTCGTAGTTCTTCACCGATGCCTTCAGCTGTTGGACCTCCAGGTGAGCCTGGTTGAGCTTGTCCTCCATAGGGGCAAAGCTAGCCTAAAGAAGGAAGGACTTGTGAGCAACCAGAAGAAATGTTCAAGATCTGAGTCTCCTTATCTACTTCTAGAAACCAGCAAAGAACATGCCCCTGTACAGAAGCTCTCATCAGCTAGTGTCCGAGTAAGACTCCTACTGCGACCCCTCCATTGTAGAGATGACGATAAATGGTGGTTATCTAAAGGCAATATACAAACTCTAAAGAAAACGGGAGGTCCGGCCAAGTGATAATGTACTTGCCTGGCATGCTAGAAAGAAAATGAATATAAAACTCATGGATTGCATGCCCAAGGCTCAAGATTTGGCAAAATGGTTATTGTTCTATAACACTTTTCATGAATAAATAAATTATATGATGCTTTTAAAATTTGCAAGATACTTTTTTGCAATACAGATAAAGAGGAAGCAGGAGCGAGCATGAGAATGAATCAACATAAGCAGATGAGCGATGGCTCCTATTTAATCCCAGCTCACAGTGGGCTGAGGTGGGGCTGCTGCCAAATTTGAGGCCAGATAAGGTCTAACAATACACTATCAAAAAAAAAAAAAAAGGAGGAACAGGGTGGAAGTGGGGAAAAAGAAAGGGGTAATACAATGACCTAAAGAGAAGAAAAAGCTAGAGTACAGCCTGGTGTACTGACCTAGCATGTGCACAGCCCTGTGCTCTGTGCCCTGTCCTCAGCATCACAGATTGAAGAGGAAGAAAGGAAGAAGAAGGAGGAACTCCAGAGCATCATCTGGGTACCATCAGGACAAACGCACACACTGTGACAGAGACCTATCTGGTGCTGACAAGGAACCCTGAACCTTAACGCATGTCAACTGCTCGCTCTATCACTGAGCAACACCTCCACAGCTTCTGTGATGTTTGAAACATTTCCTATGCACATATCTGACTGTCTAAAGAGGATATACTTCCACAGACAATACTTTCAGTGGCTACAGTGCATATTCTACATAGATACACCATGCTGTAATTAATCCCCAAGTGTTGGATTTGGAGGTTACTAATTATTTGAAATGGGATTTCTGTGTATCCTAAGTTGGCCTGAAACTCACTCTACATAGTCTTCTGTGTCACCACTCCTGGCCCCTTGAAAGTTATTTTCAGGGTGTCTAACAATTTAGTAAAGCAAAGATATTGTACCACCAGAGCTGTAAAAATAAAAAGGACTGATAATACCAAGTGTTGCCAAGGGGACCCAGAGTAACTGTTGTCACTGACAAGTCACTGGTGGAAACAATGTATACAACAATTAGGCCAGTTGTTAACACCTGCTAAGCCCGAACACCAGCAGATGACCAACTACATGCATCCAAAAGATGTCCACTACCAGTAAAAGAGACAAACACTAGTAGTTCCACCTCCCAGCACCCACCCACAGCCACGAGGAGTGAATTATACACACTGCTGTGAAAGCAGCACATGAGCACACAGGCTGTCCACAGCAGGCACACACTGCTGTGAAAGCAGCACATGAGCACACAGGCTGTCCACAGCAGGCAGATGGACTTGTGATGACACAGGCAGCAGCTGCCTTTACAAGGGTGTTACAGTATGCTCACAACTTCCAGAGTGATTAAAAAGTTATTCATGTTATGTAAGTTAAGGACCTGTATACTCTTCCAAGTCATCCTTGTCTTGCCTAACAAAAACTAAAATCAGAGGAAAATCTTCTCTGGGGTGTCAGCTCTGCTCAGGAGGCTGTGGTCTAAGTAAGGAGCCTACTTGAAGTTTGAGTTGGTGTGTCTGAGATAGGTCTCACTCTGTAGGCTAGGTTTCCTCAAATTAATAAACTTACAGTGAGCCTTCTGCCTCAGTTTCCTCAATGCTGAGATTACAAGTGTGTACCTCCACATCCAGTATTTAGAGACCTACAAAGAGCTGGATCTACAGAATTAGTCTCAATTTCAAATCCCAACTCCAAACTCTTCCTTGGGCAAAACCTTGTGTGACTCTCTTTAAACCTCTCTTTCTTTTTCTTTTTCTTTTCTTTCCTTTTTTTTTTTTTTCTGGTTATTTGAGACAGGGTTTCTCTGTGTAGCTCTGACTGTCCTGGAATTCACTTTGTAGACCAGGCTAGCCTCAAACTCAGAGATCTGCTTGCCTCTGCCTCCTGAGGGCTGGGATTAAAGGAGAGTGCCACACCACCGTTTGGCTAAGCCTTGCTTTCTTTTTTATCTTTGGCAGGTTAGAGATCAAACCTAGAATCCCAGGCTTGCTAGGCAAGAGCTCTACAAGTAAGCTACAATGTCCTTATTTCCAATTTCCTTATTGACCAAAAATAGTCAACATACAATTAGAAGGCTAAAATGAAAATGTATGAGGTACCCAGCAGACCCCTAGAGAGCCATGGTTAGGGCCAAAGTCAATTCTGTAATGCAAATGTATCTAAATGCATCATATAAGCATTTCACATGAGTTAACACGTTCTCAGCAGGATTCATCTCCCCAACTCAGGAGCTGCAGCAATAAGTTAGATACTGCCAACTTCCACAATGCCCCCCTCCGCCCCATGCGCATGCCCGCAGCTAGTAAGAGGCAGCAGTGGGAATGAGGCACCAGAGCACTCCCTTGATCAGCACGCTGCCTTGAGCTCATCTGGCCCACTGAGGCCAGCCTGCTCTTGAACTCCTAGCTCCCAGTATGCATCCAGACCTTGAGCCTCTCGTTCTCTAGCTTGAATGCAGAATACTCAGCGGTCTGCCGGTGCAGTCTCTCCACCAGGCTGTCCCGGTCTTCCCGCATCTTCTCCTCCAAGCTTTGTTGTTGGTTTACAAGATCTGTCACCCGGCTGGAAGATCAGCAGATAGAATCAACTCCCAGACTTTTATGGGAAAGGAGCTCATCCCCACCAAAGACCATTTCCACCTCATGGCACGCTGCCTATCTGCTCCCCAGGCTCCACACCAAGAAGCAGCTTTCCCGTCCCAGTGTCCTACCTCTACATAATAGCCTTTCAAACGGTTCCCATAACACCTCCTCCGGAAGCTACTATTTAGCAGGAATGATTGTGTGTGTCCATTCTGATCACCTCGCATGACTGAGACACAGGCCCTCCTAGCTTTCAGCATCACCAGATCTCTACTCATCCTTTCTCCATGTTAGAACTGACTCCTTTGAGACCTTTCCCTTAATTTCCAGGTTGGTGACTGGTAAGGACTACCCAGGTAGTCCTCATCCCCAGGCACCTGGCACATGTGCTTTTGTCCCCACAGCACTGTTCCTATGTGTGCACACATGGCTATCACACGTAAGAACTGGACTGACTATGTGAGAGAGGCTTGAGGAGCCAACTGAAAGCTGGCTTCTTGCCCACTTTCCCTTTGTTGCTGCTCAGTAGGGCTGTCAGTGGAATCTACAGACTGTGACCTCAATGGTGAGTTCCAAGGTGCAGGCCTCACCCACCTTAACTTCGCACATCACACAATCTTTGTACAATCTGGGCTCTCAGGGTTTTGTTGTTGTTTTTCAAGACAGGGTTTCTCTGTGGTAACAGCCCTAGCTATCCCGGAACTCACTCTGTAGATCAGGATGGTCTTGCATTAAGAGATTCACCTGCCTCTGCCTCCTGAGTGCTGGGATTAAAGGTGTGTGCCCCTGCCCCACCACCTGCCCTGCGTTGCTCTCATTTGGGGTTTTTCAGCTCAGGGAATGCAAACCAGGGCTTCTCACATACTAGGCAAATGCTCCACTAAGCTCACCTCGCTGTGTTCTCAGTGCTGTTCAACCAGAGACTGCCATTGAGCAAACGCTGAGTGAGTACTGACTGGGCCCAAGCCAGTACACAGCATCTCACCTGGCAGCCTATTATTCATCCTTAAAAGCCCACTTCAGCCTCCCCTCCTCAGAACATACTTCTTTAATCCCTCATCTGTACCATGTTTCCTTCTTTATACCTTCATCTCTCTTCTCCCACTAGACTGTTCCCTGAGAACAGCACCTGATACATGGCCAGCTCTCAGCCTGTTTTTGCTGAAATGAGCCGAACACAACACAAACACTTTCCAAGGAAAGCTTTCCTCAGATGGCAGGCTGCTAACTCCCTGTGACCTCTATCTTCCTGGCCAAAGGAGCCTGTGCATCTTGTAGCCCCAGGACCTCCAGTGGAACTCAGGGCAGGTAATACATTTGTGTTACAGCAGGCACACAGGCCGGCACTCAGGCTGCCCCACACGTACTTTTACAATGGAGGAACTGGCGACTATGGCTGGGAACAACTGGGGGGGGGGGGTGTCACTCATCTTCCCCTAGTGGCAATGAGGTGGGTCAAAGTCAGTCACACACACCTGGAAGCTATGCTGCCTCTCTCTCCCTGTCACACCTCTGACGTGCTGGCAGGCGGCACTGGCAGACAATGGAGAGTGCACAGGGACTTAGCTGCGACATCCCTCAAGAAAAGCAAGACAACTGTGTGCCCATGGCCTGCTGCAGAGACTAGGGCCAGGCTGGGCCTCTGTGATGGGTATCTTATCCCCTTGAGGATGTTTACAGTTCAGGTGATGGAGACCGGAGCCTCTCACGTGCTAGACAAGTGGAGTAGTAGCCCGGGGCTAGAGCCAGAGCTTGGCACAGGGCTGCCCACATTTCAGCCCAGTTTACAAGTTCAAGTCGTAGAGACCACAGCAGTCTCATGACATTGAGACCTCAGTGCACCATGCTCCTTCCACCTGTTTAAGTCCCTCACATAGTTCCCCTCTTCACACAAAGACATACTCGTTCAAAACGATAATTTCCAACTCGAGGTCTCCTTTGTCTTTCACAACCTGGTTGTAGCGGCTCCTCCATGACTCCAGAGTAGATAAAGCTTCAGCAACATAAAGGTCCTGAGGACACAGGACAGCAGGAATGTCAGCCTCATCTCAACACCCAGGCAGAAGACAGGTAGGGTGGGCTAACCTAGATAGACCCAGCCTCCCTCTACAGCCTCTCTCAAGATGAGAGGATACTGGGAATGGTACAGAAAGCCAAACTGAGCTCCCAGGCTTCCAGCATCACATTGCATCCTGTGGGCAGACCCCAAGTCCTCCTTCCCTCGAAATGAATGTGCTGGACAGTTCTGGTCCTCCGATCATCTCCACTTCCCCAGCCACACCCGCTCACTCACGCCAACAACAGGTGCTGGGGGAGGACTGGCACCTTGTCAGCAAGCTGCACGTGTAACTGCTCAGCATACTCTTCGCTCTTCTCGGCTCGCTCCTTCTGGGCTCGGATGGCCTTCTTCAGGGTCTCTTTGTCTCGGTCTCCCTTTTGCTTCAGTTCCTTTAGCTGCTCCATGATGGCCTCCACTTCCGCCTTGTGCTGGTTCCCACTCCGCTCCAAGTTCTGGGAGGAGACAGGAAGGAAGAGGTGGAAAAGACAGCAAAGGGGGTATGGCAGCAGAGAAGAGAGAAGGGGAGATGTAAGAACTCAGACCTACTGGGACAGACACCAGAGTCGTGGCCTCTCTGGGTCCCTTTGACCATGGAGAACATTTAGAATCATCACATACCCAAGTGACTCAGCAGAGCAGCCACCCTGGGAGCCTGGAAAGCATTTGAGACTAATGACTTCCCTCATGTAGTCACGAGAAATCTAAGAGTGACAGCCTCTCCCTGCCCCATCTGGGAGCCAGCAAGCACCTTGATCTGCATGCACAGGCGACTGTTCTCGGCTTCTTTGCACCGGAGCTGTGCCTGTAGATGCCCACGCATGGACTCCATGGACTTGGAGAGCTCAGATGCTGTCTTTGCTTGAGCCTTGGGAGACAGAGAAAGTAATGAAGCCAGCTCTAGCATGGCACCATGCAGCGCAGCTCCTCACAGTGCCGGGGCTGGACACAGTACCTTCTCACATTGTATCTCCTGGAGGAGCTCTTCCACCTCCTTGTCCTTGTCTTGCAACAGTAACAGCAGGCGCTGGGAGAAAACACAGTCACATGCCTCTGAATTGGGCACACGGGACCCAGGCAGGAGCACCTAACCTATACTAATTTTTTTTTTTTTTTTTTTTTTTTGGTGTTTTGGAGAGACAGGGTTTCTCTGTGTAGCTTTGGAGCCTGTCCTGGAACTAGCTCTTGTAGACCAGGCTGGCTTTGAACTCACAGCGATCTGCCTGCCTTTGCCTCCCGAGTGCTAGGATAAAAGGCATGTGCCACCACCACCGGACCTAGTAATTTCTTTAAATGATTTTCAGTTTTAAAAATGGTGATGTCAACTAGGAAATATGGAAAAGCACAAAGCTCAAAGAATCCCTGACATTTCTGTTTATCAATAACCACTCAACATTCAAAATGAGTCTTAAATGCATTTTGTTCTGTACCCCCAAAATCTCACATTTATCACAATACGACTGAATCCTTCACATTTTTTTGGAACAGCTGCTGATGTTCCAGCATCTTGACCACCTTAGCTGAGCCTGATCAGCCCCCTAAGCTGAGTGTGTGGGAAAAGCAATGTTAGTATCCCTCAACTTCTACTCCTTCTCAAATCTGTATTTGTCTCTCCTCTTTCTCTTTCCTCACCTTGCAAGAGATGGTTCATGAAGAAACACACTCCAAGTATGTGAGGGCAGGTGAGCTGGGAGAGGCACACAGATTGGCATCCTCCACAGTGATCACTGGCCATGCAGCAAGGCCTTTCCCTCCCTGCCTTCCCTCTCATAGAGACATAGAAAGCCATTCAATACGAGAGGCTCCCACTGTCTTGGGAGAAGAAGCCTGGTGAACTTGAAAGTTCCCAGATCATTTGCCCACAAGACTCCTATGCTTGTTTCTTGCACTCATGAACTAACATCTTGCACAGCTTCAAGTTTCATGGAACATGAAGCCTTGGGAGAGAATTCTAAAATAGGGGCTATGAAGTAGAAAGGTATGTACTTTTTTTTCTACTGGAATGCACTCTGTAGAGTAGGTGGCCTCAAACTCACACAAATCTGCCTACCTCTGCCTCCAGAGTACTGAGAATAAAGGCTTGTGCCACCACACCTGGCAGCATGTACCTTTTTTTTTAATATTTATTTATTTAGTATTAAATAAATAATACTAAATATTGTATACAGAATATACAGTATTCTGTCTGTGTGTATGCCTACAGGCCAGAAGAGGGCACCAGACCTCATTACAGGTGGTTGTGAGCCACCATGTGGTTGCTGGGAATTGAACTCGGGACCTTTGGAAGAGCAGGCAATGCTCTTAACCTCTGAGCCATCTCTCCAGCCCCCAGCATGTACCTTTTGACTGCTGGGAATCCAAAGAATAAATCCAGGTTTAATAGGGCCAGAGGACTAGTGATCCCTCATGCTGTGGTCTCACTTTGTGCCTTAAGCCCTCCAGTGATCAGCTAGCTAGGTTAGGTAAGTCTAGTGGAGAAGGCAACAAAGCGGGTGTCAACCCATTTTATAGATCACAAAATACCACCAAGACAAATGGCAGACACGGGGTTCCAGCTCCACCCTCTGTTCAGCAGCTTCGTTCTGGGACGCCCAGCCCTCTAGTACCTAACCCACTGGAGTGACCAAGGGTGTGGTGGTTACCGCTTTCTCTGAGTCCGCCTCTGCCAGACGTTTCAATAATGCACCTTGTTGCTCCATTAGTCTCTCGGAATCCTTCAGCGTGGTTAAAAAGAAAACCCAAGATTTAAATAAGCACAGAGTCTACATCTCACTATTTTCCTTCCCCCAAACAATGTCTAGCCATATATATATACTAATATATACCAATACAGTGTCATTATAAAGTCATGAATATTAATAAAAGTTCAATACGCCAGGCAGTAGTGGTGCACATCTTTAATTCCAGTGCTCAGGAGGCAGAGTCAAGAGGATCTCTGTGAATTCAAAGACCAGCCTAATCTACAGAGCTAGTTCCAAGAGAGCCAGGGCTATACAGAGAAACTTACCACTGTTTTGCTCATTTTACTTTAATGTTTTTAAAAAATATATATATTCTTTCTCATCTTATATATATGGGTGTTTTGCCTGTGTGTATCTGTGTACAATAAGTATATGGTGCCCACAAAGGTCAAAAGAGGGCATCAGATCCCTTGGAACTGGACTTACAGGTGTTTGTGAGCCACCATGTTGATGCTGAAAAAAATTCAATTCAGAAGTCCTGGGAGATCAGCTAAGGCTCTTAACTATTGAGCCATCTCTCCAGCCACAATGTAAGATTGTTAATCTGTATGTCTACCTGTGACACAGGTATATGTATGTCTACCTGTGTACCAAGTGCATGTCAGGTGCCCATGGAGATCAGAGCACAGCATCAGATCCCATGACACTGTTGTTACCAATGGTTGTGAGCCACCTGTGGATGCTGAGAATGAACTCAGGTCTCCACAGAGCAGCCAGCACTTTTTAACCACAGAGTCACCGCTACAGCCCCTTCCTTAATTTTATTTCATTTCACCACAAAGTCACCGCTACACCCTTCATTTTATTTCATTTTTTTTATGTACACACATTTTACCTGCATATGTGTCTATGCATTATATGCATATAGTGCCCACAGAGGCCAGAAGAGGGTATCAGATGGTTGTAAGGTTGGGTACTGGGAACTAAACACAGGTCCTCTGAAGACCCGCCATTGAACTTTAACCACTGAGCCATCTCTCTAGCTCCTCTGGGCATCTATAGTCATTTATCTTTCCTTAACAGAGTGGGCAGGGGCTATGTCATTTTTAAAGAATCATATCATGGGCTGGAGAGATGGCTCAGTAGTTAAGGTCTTGAGTTCAATTCCCAGCAACTACATGGTGGCTTGCAACCATCTATCCATCTATAATAGAATCTGATGCACTCTTCTGTTTTGCAGGTATACACGCAGAGAACCTATACATAAAATATAAATACATTTTAAAAAAAGAATGATACCATTTTATGTGTTACAACCTGAAATTTTGTGTTGTTTTGTTTTTTGAGACACTACCTCACTCTGTAGGTTAAGCTTGCCTAGGACTCACTAGCTCAGGCTGGCCTTGAACTCCCCGACTGCCTTAGTGCCAAGATTACAGGTTGTGTCACCATGTCCCCTTACAGCTTGATTTTTTTTTCAGCTTTTATTTTATGTATATGACTGTTCTGCCTGCATAAATATACTTGTGCCTAGTTCCCGAGAAGTAAGAAGGTAACATCAGATCCCCCGGAACTGGAGTTACAGATGATTGTGTGTCACCATGTGGGTGCTGAGAATCAAATTTCCTCACAAGAGCAACAAGTGCTCTCAACTGCTGAGCCATCTCTACAGCTCCACCTTTATTTTTTAAAAGGCTGTATGAGGACGTAAATGTGAATGCCATACAGTTAATATCTTGATGTGCTGTCCACAATGACTGAAACGTTATGGTACTGTTCTGCATATGCCATTCGCTCCAACAGAGCACATGTGCTCATCACACAAAGTTCATGACTTCACTGTGGTAACCATTTTCTAACACACATATCTGCCTAACCCCTGCAATATATACTGTTCTTATTGGTCAATTACACCTCTCCCACGCTGGCAAAAGTAATTAAAGTGAAAAAATTAACGACTTTTGGGTACGCTGTTGTTTAACTGTGGTAAAATAGATAACAAACTTGCCACTTTAGCGTGGAAGGCATACAGCAGTAACATTTAGTGCATTGCAATCACTACCATTTCCATCACCCCAAAGAAATCCCATTCCCCACTGCACCTTCCCTCTAGTCCTTGGCAGCCACCAACCTATCTTCTGCCTCTAACCTGCCACCGCTTTAATGTTCTTTCCTGTTGCTAAGAATTGAACTGAGGGGCACTGGAGAGATGGCTCAGAGGTTAAGAGCATCGCCTGCTCTTCCAAAGGTCCTGAGTTCAATTCCCAGCAACCACATGGTGGCTCACACCATCTGTAACAAGGTCTGGTGCCCTCTTCTGGCCTGCAGACATACACACAGACAGAATATTGAATACATAATAAATAAATAAATAATTTTAAAAAATTGAACTGAGGACCTCATTCATGCTCGCCATGCACTAAAGAGCTGCGATGTATTTCCACCACATTTGAACTCTCCTTGGTGATGACCTCCCAAGGTTTTTATTTATGTATCTGTGTGTACATCATGTGTGCAGGTGCCCAGAGGCCAGAAGAATACCGTCATGCCCTCAAGCTGGAATTGCAGGCTGTTAACCACCAGATCTGAATGCTGGGAATCAAATGCCAGTTGTCAGAAAAAGAACAACAAATGCTCTTAACTGCTGACCCATCTCTCCAGTCCCTAACTTTGTATTTTACTCTTAGTTGTTTTTCACACAGGATCTCTATGTAGCCCAGGCCCCCAGAGTGCTGGGGTTTACAAACCCCATGCTACCAGCTATCGTCTGCTGACTTTCAAAGCCTTTCCCTAACCCTCATCCTTTTGCATATGCATGGTTATATACATGTCATCTCCTACCTGGACTCAGGCTAGTTGGTCTTTAAGCTACCAAGATTTTCCTATCCCTACCTCTGTCTCCCCAGTGAATTATAGACACCAGTTCTACACAGTTCTGGGGATTTGAACTCATGCCCTCACAGTTAGACAGCAAGCATTTTTACCCTCTGAGCTGTCTCTCTGGCCCACTTTGTCTGTAATTGTCCATTACATTAGCTCCTCCTACAGTCTGGGCAACTGGGCTGCTCTGGGGTTTATATTTGCAAACAATGAGGCGATGGACACGAGGCATGGAGAGTGGTCTCTTGGAATGATACAGGAAGAGGGCCGCACTAACTCACGTGGTCACTACAGGAGCTGATGCTTGCTTCACCACTCTTACCAGTCCCAGACAGTCACAGTCTTAGCCATGATCTTAGTGCTATTTTAATTTACACTTTCCTAATTATCAGGAGACTCAGCATCTTTTTTGTTGTTTTGTTTTTCAAGACAGGGTTTCTCTGTGCAGCCCTGGCTGTCCTAGAACTCGTTGTGTAGACCAGACTGGCCTTGAACTCAGAGATTTACCTGCTTCTGCTTCATAAGTCCTCTGTCTCATAAAGGTTGGGATTAAAGGTAGTACCAGTACGGCCTCACTAAGATTCAGCATCTTAAACATCGACAGTCATTTGGAATTCCTCTGATGACTACCTTCTTCTCCTTGCCCATTTTCTCACTCACTGGATCTCTATGACTGCCCCTGTCTGCTTCTTGACAGTCAAAACATCCCATGAAGGAGGCTCACACTCTTGTTCCCTCTGATTTCCCAGGTACCCTGATGTCATTTTCTAAGGACCTAGGAACTGACAAGGGATAGCACTGAGCACTTGGGAGGCTCATAGGGGGAATGGAACATTCAAGGACAGACTGGGCCTCACAGCGAGACTGTGACTCAAAATGACAGGAAAGAAAGGCCTGTAGCTGTTGCACTCAGGCTCCTGTCACCATCTACACTCACCAAAACATTCCACTCTAAGAACCTCACAAGTTCGACGTGGCATTCTCTCACTTTATAGCTTAGGGTGGGGTTGGGACAAGCAAAGGACCTGAGGCCACACAGCTACAAAGGGCAGAGCTCGGCCCTGGTGGACTCAGACTACAAAGCCAGAGTAGTGGTCCAAACACTGAGCACATTCCCCCAGGTAGGCAATGAGCCCACAGACAAGCTGCAAATGGGAAATTATTTAAGTGGCTGAGTCTTCTCATCCAAGAAGAGACAGACTCCAGGATGATAGAGGTTAAGTCATAAACAAAGAAAAGCCTGCTGTGCCGCCCTGGAATCCTAAAGGCAAGCACTGAATTGGAAGCCAGGGATGAGAGAGATGATTAAAAGGCTAAGAGTACTCTGTTCTCCCAGAGGACCTGAATCCAGCTCCCATGTGGCAGCTCACAACTGCCTGTCAATCCAATTCTAGGGGCTTCTGACTACTGACTTTCTATACATACACCCACATACACTCACTTGCACTCACATACATACCCAACACACATAGACATAGACACAAACACACACACAATTTAAAACAGTATATTTTAAAAAAATAAAAAGATTGACGGTAAGGGGCTGGAGAGATGGTCTAGCAATTAAGAACACTTGTTGCTCTTACTGAGGACCTGAGTTCGGGTCCCAGAACCCACGTGGTGGTTCTAAACTGTCCTTAGCTCCAGGTCTTGGCAATCTGATGCCCTTCTTCTGGCCTTTGCAGGTGCCTGGCATATACACATACACACAGACAAGACACAAATACACATAAAATATCTTTTTTTTTTTTTTTAAAGATTTTGTGAGACAGGGTTTCTCAGAAGTGTTGCCCTAACTGTCCTAGTCTACTTGCTCTGTAGACCAGGCTGGCCTCAAACTCACAGAGATCCACTTGCCTCTGCCTCCTAAGTGCTGGGATTAAATGAGTGCACCATCACTGCCTGGCAAAATAAATTTGTTTAAAAAAAGAAAACTGAAGGCTAGCCTAGGTTACACAGAGAGCTAAGATCTATCTCAAAGCAAAAGCAGAACCAAGGGCTTGGCTTGTCACCCCAGCATTTAAGACAGAAACACAAAATTCAAGAATTTAAGGTTATACTTCAGCTACCCATGAAACCCTGCCTCAAATCCAAAACCAAATCAAAGTTGAGGGTAATGGCACCCACTTGTAACCAGGAGTTCAAGGCTAGCCTAATTCTACACTGTGAATTTCAGGCCAGCAAGGGCTACTGCATCAACACTGCATCAGAAAGCAAGAAAACCCAAACCAAACCAAAACAAAACAAAACAAAAATCAAACTTTCCCTGCTTCCCAAAAGAGAAAAAACAAAACGATCATAGCAAAGTTTTCTAAAAGTGCCACACTCCTCCAGGAAAAGCCACAGCAGCTACAATATACCAGGCCTTGTCACATGCCAGGAAGGATGCCTGGCCCCATCCATAAGTCCTCCCAGCTTTGCACAATCCCAAGAGGTGAATGCTCTATACACTTCTTAGAAGAAAAACTAAGTTATGAATTACCTGCCTGAGATCACCAAGTCAGAACTTAAGCAAGTATAACTAGGTTAGAGAAGAATTTGGCTATAACTAGAAGCATTTAGAAACATATTCTAGACTTTTCATTTATTTTTATTTACTTTTTTTGAGACAGATTCTCATTATGTAGCTGGGAAATCACTTGCAGCCCAGGTTGGACACAAACTTGGCAATCTTCTTGCCTCTACCTGTCAGTCCTGTGCTACCATGCCCATTCAGAATCTTTTGAGAACAACAGGATGATAGATATCAACAATTTGTCAGAAATAAAGTGACAATCCAAATAAAGTGTCCATCAGCAGAAGGGATTCATTACAATGAGAATATAGCAATGAAATCCGTATTAGGCTGAAGAAGAGTGAAGTCATGAAAGTGTTAGCTGGACATGGTGGCTGGCACCTCTCTGCCAGCACTTGAAAGGCTGAAGCACAATTCTTCCAGGTTTGAGGTCAAAGATGAGTTCTAGGCAAGCTTGGGCTATAAACAGGATGAGATCTTTGCTTCAACACGGTGAACAGGCACACATACAGGCAAAACACTCATATACATAAAAGAAAACAAAAGTAAAAACGATATTAAATGAAATAAGGCAGAGACAGACAAACAAAGGCAACATCACCTCATTCATATATAGACCCTGCAAGAGTCAAATACAGTCAAATATAGGGCAGAGAACGTAGTGATCAGATAGAGGAGCTGAAACTGTAAGCTATTGAGCAAGGGCAGTCCCAGGGCTGGAGAGACGGCTCAACACTTAAGAGTGCATACTGCTCTTCCATAGGTTCAGTTCCCACCACCTACACGGCAGCTCATTGTTATAACTGTAACTCCATCTCTAAGGGAGTTGATGCCCTCTTCTGGTCTTTGCAGGCACTGCACACACACACACACACACACACACACACACACACACACACACACACACACAGGAAATCTTCAAAAACAATTTCAGCTACAAAATATTAAGTTCAAGAGACCTACCATGCAACATGATGATTCGGGTTAAAAACATATTATAAAAAATTGTTGAAAGAGCCAACAGTGGAGGTGCACACCTTTAATCCCAGCACTCAGGAAGCAGAGGCAACGGCAGAGGGGGGCGATCTCTATGAGTTCAAGGCCAGCCTGGTCTACAAGAGAGTTCCAGGAGCATCAGAGCCAGTTGTGGGGGCTCTCACATCTTTCCCACCACCAGGTGGGCACAGGAGAGGTGGACTGCAGCTAGAGATTACATGAGCTATGTAAGACCCTTCTAAGAATAAAATAAAGAAGGCTGAATAGTAGTTCCACAGGTGAAGGTGTTTACTATGATCATGGAAGCCTGATGACCCAAGTTTGGCTCCTAGAACCCACATAAAAGTAGAAGAACCAACTCCACAAAATTGTCCTCTTATCTTCATGTTGCTGTGGTATGTGTGTACATAGCCACGCACACACATGAAATATATGGATTAAACCTAGAGGCCTCCCGCTTCTTTTCCCTCCTATTTTGTTCTCAGCCACCACCATCATCCCCCTTCTTCTTTTCTTTCTTTCTTTCTTTTTTTTTTTTTTTTTTTTATTCGTGACAGGGTTTCTCTGTATAACAGTCCTGGCTGTACTAGAACTAGCTCTTGTAGACCAGGCTGGCCTCGAACACAGAGATCTGCCTATCTCTGCCTCCGAATGCTGGGATTAATGGTATGTGTCACCACCACCCGACTTCTCTGCCCTTTTAAAATGTTTATTTGCAACACCGTCTCACGATGTAGCCCAAGTGACACCATGCAATTTTTGGAGTCTAGCCAGTCCTCATTTTTCCACAATACATGTAATGCAGTCTGAGGCAGGTGTAGGGCTCCACCTTTAACGTCAGCATTTTGAAAGCTGAGGCTGCAAGACTGTGAGCTTGTGATTCAAGGGAGAAAGAGGAGGGAGGCAAGAGGACAAAGAAAAGAGGAGAACAGGAAAATCAGGCCCAGGACTTACACCCATTCTCCCAGAACTGGCCTCTGACTGCTGAGGTCTTTCTGCTGCTGGGCTTGCCTTCAAGACAGCACTGAACACTTACATCAGTGACTTCACGACTCTCTCTCCCTGGTCTGCTCAGGCCTGATCTCACAGAAGTTGTTTAGAGACAGCCAAGCAGGATTCCAAGATGGGGCAGGGCGGAGAGAGAGAGGCGCACTACAGCTGTGCCAGGTCAGACACTCACCTCTTTGCAGTGCTGTTCCCTCAGCAGATCTCGGAGGGTGCGGTTGGTCTCCTCAAAGGTGCTCAGCTTCTGCAGGAGAAGTTCCTTCTGCCTCGTCAAGGTGTTGATGTCAGTGCAAGTCATCTGTTTCTCCTGGAGGAGAAGCTGTGTTATATGGCGCAGGGGGGACAGGCCCATGCACGTGTTACACAGCAGGGGGAACAGGTCCACGCAGTGTTAGGACGGGGAGGCACCAGGAAGCCCAACAAGAGGAGCTGGGCCAAGGGCAGGTAGGTCTCCTGAAGTGGGCCTGGGGAATGGGAGAAGTGGAGAAAGGGATGGGAGTGCTCAGTGTATGGTCAGGACAGGCTTCCTGCAGGAGGAAAGGCAGATGGTAACACATGGTGGCTGACACTTGCAGGAATCAACCACATGCCTTGACTCACTGTGATCCCAAGTGACCCATGATTTGGTCTCCTCAGATGCCCTGATCAACAGAGGTCATCTTCAAGGACCAAGGCCCAAGAAGTGAAAGTGCAGGGGGGTTGGGACTGAGCAGTTAGGTGTGCCCTCCCCCAGCCTGGAGATGTCATAAAGTCAGCCTGATGACTGCGTAAAGCTCCCCACCGGAGCCCCACCCACCCCATCCAAAGGCTCCACCTACGGTTTTCAGCTTCCCGATGGTATCCTTCAAGGCCATGACTTGCTTGGCAGCAGCTGCTCCATCCATTTCAGCCTCTACCAATTTAGACATGAGGCACTCCTTCTCCTGCTGGAGGTGTTTCTTCTGAAGCCTAGGGCCAAAAAAGCAGGATTCCTGAGCGATGGCAGGGCCCAGCCTGTCCAGAGCTCTGAAGGCCCACCTCACAATGGCCTGAGAAACTCCCCTTCTGCTAGGAAACAATGGAGAGGAGTTGCAGGGAGCCATTCCTACCCAGGTGACCTTCTAGAAGAGAGCACAGAGTTACACTTGCTTCAGCATTAAACCGGAGCCTCTGCCGGAGCTATCATGCCATAGCCGATGAATTTGATTGTCAAGACTGCCTCCATGTTCCTGAGTTCATCTCCCTTCCCATCACACACTGTCACTCTGGTCTCATGGAGCCGAGGCTGGCTTTGGGACTTGCTATGTCACAGGAACTGGCCTTCAATTCCCAATCCTGGATCTCCTTCCTGGTGCTGTGACTACAGACACGTGCCACCATGCCTGGTCACTGCTCAGCTTTTAAAAGCGGTCCCCACATCCTCAAAGTTTTACCCAATAGGTTACGGGGATTGTGGATCAAGGGTAAAGCACTGAGCATGTTCAGGCCTTGGAGTCTATACCTACAACTGAAAAAGAAAAAAAAAGATGCTAACTCTACAGCCGCCGTCTCTGAGGCACTTTTGCCCTCTGCAGTCAGTCTTGACCTACTTTCTATTGCTTGAGGTAAACGATACCCAGTCCGTTGAAGGCTCCCAGCATTTCATGTTCAATGCCTTCCTGCAACAGTCCTGTCTCCCCCAAGGCCTCTCCACCACACTGAGCAGGCTTCCCACAGGCACTCCCAGGGCTGCTGCCTCCACTGCCTTCCTCTGGGTCCGCAGCCCAGCCAGGCTTCCTTACATGGTGAAGTCTTTCTCCTCCTTGATGCGCTCGATGTTGTGTCTGAGCACCGTGTTTTCATGCTCCGTCTCTGCCAGCTCATGAGCTACCTCCTCCAGCTCCTCCTTTCGCTCCTCCAGGAACCTTTTGGCCATTTGACGTTCGCCTTTCTGCATCTTAACCTTGGAAAGGGGACACAGGAAAGGACCACTGAAGGGACAGCTCTTCCCTGAAGCCATTTTGTTACATCTAAACCTTCTAAGAAGAGTGCTACGGCTTCGTGTCTGAGGCCTTCCAAGCATTGTCTCAGTGAACTGTCACACGAACACTGACTGTCCTCCAGACAGACACTCCATCCAGTCTGTACATGAAGAACCTGAGTACAAAGAAGCAGTGATGCGTGCTGACCAGGGTGGGGCAGCCAGCAACAGCAGTACAGCTGGCATCCCATAGGAGCGAAGATGTCACAAAAAAAGGACAGTGGGCTATGGAGATAGGAAGGCCCCTGCTTGTCAGGAAAGTTAGCTCTCAGTTCTCCAGGAAGGTAGGCCCTCCGATAAGTAGAGGATTAAAGACACATGCACCTCGGCACTAAGGACCTGGCTTTTAATGTCAGCCCCACTTGCATCCTGGTCAGGGGCTGCTTGGGAGACTCCTCTCTCTCCTCTGCTGCTCTTCAGCCATCTAAGCAGCAAAGGCTGGGCCCTGTTTTACAGGCCTTCCCTCTGTGTAGGAGCGCTAAGTCAGGGGAGTGGCACACTGTCGTACCTGTGGCCCTCAGAAGGCGGAAGAGGATGACGGCTCAAGGCAGGCCTACATTGAGAGATGGTCTCAAAACACAAACAAAATGGGGCTAACCCCACCAGCTTTACTGGCTGCAGTAATCACATCTGGCCATCTAATGAGAGCAGTGAGACAGCTAAGTATTGTTAGAGAGTTCTAATATGGAGGAAACTCAAGCTGCCCAGTGGCCTCTCCAAATAAATGCCCTGGGAAGGCTTGCTGACAAGGGACAGGAGACCCCCAGAGAGGCAGCCTGAAGGAAGCATCCACAGGTTAATCTGCTTGTTCTCGGGGCACTAGTTGTCCAGCCCACTAGCTCTCTCACCTCAGATTTGAGACAACCAACCGCGTTCATTAGACTGTCAATCTTCTTATCGTAACGGTTCATTTTACAGTGACCTGAATCGTCGTCTTCTGTAGAAAGGTCACTTAATCGCATAACCGAGACCAGCTTTTCTGAAGATGGCGGTGTGATCTCCAGACAGTGAGGTGGATTCTGATGTGAAGTGGGGGAGAGACACATAAGTGGCTGAGATCAATCCTCTGACAGAATTCCACTATAATTATTTGTGCGTTGGAGTCTTGCTGACTGCCAAGGTGACAGGCAGAGCCAACACAAGCCTAATGGCCAACCCCAGAGATCCTGCCCAGGAACCAACCGCTCCAGACCCTCTGAGGGAACATTACCTACCCAAGTCTAAATGATGCGTTTGAAGAATTTCTAACATTGAAAGAAAAGGTGTGGGTTAGAATGTTAAGCTATAAAGAAGGCAGGTTTGAGTGCTGTATGCCTGAATAGTCCCAGCTACTTGGAAGGCTGAGACTTCTGGGAAGATCACCTGAGCCTAAGAGTTCAAGACAGGACCAGAAAACATAAAGAGAATCTCTACCTTTTAAGAAGAGAGAGAGAAAGAGAAAGAGAGAGAGAAAGAGAGAGAGAGAGGGAGAGGGAGAGAGAGAGAGAGAGAGAGAGAGAGATGTGGTGGCACATGGCTTTAATCCCAGGACTCAGGAGGCAGAGGCAGGTAGATTTCTGAGTTTTAGGCCAACCTGGTCTGCAGAGCAAGTTCCAGAACAGCCAGGGCTACACAGAGAAACCCTGTCTCCCAAATTCCATGGGATGTCATGCATCTTCTGGCTTCTAAAACATACATATGGTACGTTACATACATAGGCAAACATCCATAAAATAAAACTTAAGGAATAATGGGGCTAGAGAGCTGGCTCAGCAGTGAGTATGTCTGGTCCTTGCCGAGGACCAGAGTTCTACTCCTGTCACATCAGAGGTTTCCCCACTGCCTGTAACTCCAGTTCCAGGGAACCTCATGTACTCTTCTGATCTCCATGAATACACATACTCACATGTAAATACTCTGTAATCCTGGCACTTGGGAGGCAGAGACGGGGGGGTCTCTGAATTTCAGGCTAGTCATGAATACAGTGCCACATACATATATACCTAATTAAATAAAAATATTTTCCTAAAATATTTTCTAAAAAACAAGAATGAGAGCTGGGCAGTGGTGGTACCCTTCTGTAGTCCCAGCGCTCAGGAGGCAGAGGCAGGCACATCTCTGTGAGTTCAAGGCCAGCCTGGTTTACAGAGCAAGTTCAGGGATAACTGAGTCTAAACAGAGAAACCCTGTCTGGAAAAACAAAAACAAAAACAACAAAAAACCAACAAGAATGCAAAAGGGCTACAGCTCAATGGTAAAATACTTGCCTGGCATACAAAAAGCTGGGAGTGGTGGCACACACCTGTAACCTTAGCACTTGAGAGGTAAAGGCAGGAGGATCATAAATTCAAGATCATCCTCCATTACAAGTTTGAAGTCAGTCCTAACTTCATGAGACTCTGTCTCAGAAACAAAAAATAAAAAATAACACCACACCCTTAGTCTCAGTACTGCTAAATCTGAAGCAGGAGCATCACTTGAGCCCAGAGATTCAGGCTAGCCTGGGTCATTTAACAAGACCTCATCAAAGAAAAACAAACGCATAATGAAGATACGCTTCCAGAGCTCGGGGCAGAGCACCTGCAAGCATCACAAGCCCTGGCTTTAATCCCTAGTAATGCAAAAACAGAAAACTTACAGAAACACCGCATGCAGTCACAAGAAAAATGTGCCTCGTCTTACTAAGAGCAAAAGAACGAGGCTACTTCTGAGAGAAGAGAAGAGAATATTTAGAGTATTACTACAACTTTATTTTCAGAAACAGCAATAGCCTGTAGGTATAGCTCAGTGGTAGAGCTGACCTAGTATACAGAGACCCTTTATTTAATCCGACGCAGGATTAATAAATTAAGGGTCGGACCCATGACTCACCAGTTAAGAGTATCGGCTACTCCCAGCACCCATAGGGCAGCTTGCACCTCTTTTTAACTCCAGCTCCAGGGGAGCTGATACACTCTCCTGCTTCTGCTGGCACTGAATGTACATGGTATCCAGACATACACATTAAAAATTACAAAAAAAATCCAAGAGGCGGTGGTGGTGCACTCCTTTAATCCCAGCACCCGGGAGGCAGAGGCAGGAGGATTTCTGTGAGTTCAAGGCCAGCATGGACTACAGAACTGGTTTCAGGACAGTCAGGGCTAAACAGAGAAACCCAGTCTTGAAAAATCCAAAAAGAAAAAAAAACACACAATGGGCAATGATCAGGGCAGAGGTCACTTTGGTAAGTGAAAACAGGGCCGTGCAAGTTGGAGGCTGGGCATAGTGGCACACATCAGCAATCCTGGCACTGGGAAGGCAGAGGGAGGTGAGTCTCTGTGAACTTAAGGTCAGCCTGATCTACATACTGAGTTCCAGGTGAGCTATATAATGAGACCCCTTTTCAAAAAAATTAAAAAAGAGGAAATAAAAACTTTTTTTCCCAAAGACAAATAATGGAGAGGATCAAACAAGGGGTAGAAACGTAGCTCAGTGGGGCTGGAGAGATGGCTCTGTGGTTAAAAGCACTGGGTGCACCCACAAGGTGTCTCCCAACCATCTATACTGGGATCTGATGTCCTCTTTTGGCATAAAGGTGTACATGCAGATAGAGCACGCACATACATAAAATCTTAAAAAAAAATTTCCAGGCTCAGAGGTACATGCCAATGACTAGAACTCTGGAGGGACAGAGACTAGAGGATCCCTAGGGCTCAATGGCCATCCAGCCTCACCTACTTGGCAGGTTTCAGGTTCAGTGAGACCCTATAACACACACACACACACACACACACACACACACACACACAAAAACCAATTGAAGATCTCCCAAAGAAAGACATTAGAGGCTATCCTCTCACCTTACGTGTACATACATCTGCACGTACACACACCACTTTTAATTTTTAAAAAGGGCAGGAGCTGGGGAGAGATGGCTCAGAGGTTAAGGGCACTGGCTGTTCTTCCAGAGGTCCTGAGTTCAATTCCCAACAACCCATGGTGGCTCACAACCATCTGTAATGAGATCTGGTGCCCTCTTCTGGCCTG